TGAAAGGCCCCAAAACGAAGTCTGTTCAAAATTTCTCTCTTATGGAATCTTGTCTTGTTTGGGTACAAACTTTTTCAGCGACAGTCATAACTTTAAAGCATTTCACAAAGGCAAGCCTAGCTGCTTGCTTGGGAGGAAAAACGTTAAGCTCAGCCAGCAGAGAACAAAGCCTAATGCAGAGATGTGATGCCATTTCTTTGCATAAAACATCATGAACTTCAGCAGCCCCGCGGTCAAAACTTTTTCAACTGAGACGACGCAGAAGAAACATTAGCATTGGTCGGCTACTTTATAATGACTTTAATGGAAGATATGGTGAGTGAACTGCTGAACGAGTTTGCAATGCTGAAACGTGTTAGATTCAGGACCTTATTTCTACCCGATATTTAGCGATATCAGAAGAAGTCTTAATGGATAGAGACATCAAAGTCTGCCACAACGAAGAGAATAAGGAGACAGACCTGTCAATTTAGAAGCAACGGACATGCAATGAAAAGTGCGAATATGAAATTTAGCTTCCATGCCAGAAACAGGCTCGACTTCGTAGCAGGTGCGTAGCGCATGCTGAGAAATTGTCCAGGCGCTGATGAAGAACAGTTATGTCCTTTCCAAAAATGTCCGCTTCTGAACAGTCTTTCGAATTTATAGCTTTCGTGCCCATAGATAGTAAATTATAAGAATTTTTTTACCTTAGATGATTAAAAGATTTCTCTGGATTAAAATTTCTTTAACCAGATTAGAAAGAGATGACGATTCTTTGCCGTTATTGTCACTAATTTTATTTGTAATAGACAATAACACTATTGAGGTTTGAAACATGTACTTATCTTTTTACGCAGTTACGTTCACTATATGCTTATGTTTAAGCCATCAATCCATTTTCCAGAATGCAAATTCTTGTAATTCCATTGTTCAGACACGCAAGGCACAGAAACATGCGGAATAAATATTCGACATAAAGACAATGTAAAAGGGCGTAGCTTACGAATAGTAAATTAACTGGCATTGATCACTGTACATGCAGAATGACCAAATAGGATAAATAAAACTGATGCAGAAAGCGCTGAAAAAAATCAGTCCAAACGTCCTTTCTTTCTCTGGGACCTTATGTATTGAAGGAAGTACTTAGAACACTACTCAGTCTAAAATTATGCGGTTTCGTTCAGGGTTCACGCGAGCGGCTAATTCAGCCGAGAAGCAGTGACGGTCGCTGGAGTTACCAATGCTTGGACAAATCTCTAATGTATACCTTATGTTAGATTAAAAACAGATTCATTGCAAAAGTCTGTTCATCTAAGCACGCTTCCTGTAAGATATGCAGATCATAAGATTCGAAAAGTCAGATTAACAGACGTTGGCTGTTCGTGTTGTACGGAATGCTTTTGGGTCGATGGACTTGAAGACTTTCCACAGTTTCAATCATAGGACTATCCTCGTCAGTCACTAAGGACAATTTACGGCGTACGAGAGCCTTCGCTATCGCACGATGCTCTTTTAGCGGAAGAACAGTGCAAACAATGTACCTGTGTTTGTTTACTCTTAGTACAGTCGGCGCTAACGAACGTCGCTAAAACGCCTTCAGGGAAACGTTAACCGATTAAGCAGTAATCAACTTTCCTCCAACCGAGCAACCGCGAGTTTAAAACTGTAGGCAATCACACAATCACTTAATTGTAATTAATACAATTCCATAATCTGACGATTTACGTAGTTTCATGTCGTCTCGTCCAATCGATGATCTATGAGTCCTAGACAATTGTAAAACGCTTGTAGGCACTGTGTATTTCTATCGATGGCCAAGAGTGATCCATCGAAATAATTGCTGTTACTGTCATATTTTGTCAAACATAGTAAAAAAGCGATACTGCATAGCTGTGTTCATTATCATCATCAGCCTTTGTCGATCAAACATACTTGATGAGTATCTTCCAAGACTTTACTACTGACTTCTGTTTTCCTCCATTTTCATTCATTCAAGGGATGGATGAAACTTTTTAGCATGCAAGTGACCATTTAATATCAAATCCATCTGCAGAAACGTTATTTTAAGAAACTGTGACAACCCTCTAATTGATTGTAATTGTTTGATGATATGGCATCCTTCAAAATAACTTATCGACTTGAATATTGAGAGATAAAGAAATAAATAGAAATGAATATTGAGGGATAAAGATCGACTTGAATATTGAGAGCTTCGTTTTCAGATTGAGCTATGCTTTAGTCTCAGTGGATCAAGTTAGTTCACGTAGAACGCCAGTGGCAACTCCGATTCGCCGGTCGATCTCTTCCTCAAACTTTCCATCACTAGTAAATATAGTTCCGAGGTACTTGAACTTCTCCACCTGTTCCACTGCCTACCCGTTAATCTGAAGACAACAACTGGCAGCAGAACCAGAAAGCAATAAGCTTTTCGTTTTACATGCGCCCACATGCATGCCGGCTACGTCGCACTCGGATGCGAACCTTTCTACGGAGCACTGGAGATCAGTTTTAGAAGATGCTAATAAAACAGGGTCATCTGCGAACAGCAACCTTCTCGACTTCACATCTCCTATATCGATACCCCCATCGTCTTGGCAGCTCCTGACTATTCTATCCATGTACAACACAAACAGGACAGGGTACAGGACGCAGCCTTGGCGGAGACCAGTCCGAACGTTGAATGGTTTCGACTAAACGCCGTTAACTCTGACGCAGCACCTGCTATCAGAATACAGTGATTGAATGGCCCTTAGCAGATGGCCATCAATCCCGTATGCACGAAGGTATGTCTTAGAGGCATTGCTAGACATTGGTTGCTCTTTAGGTGCAGATCCGTTTAGAGCAGATGTCCAAAGCACATTATTACTCGTTCGCGATGTACCGCAGACACAGCGGTGTGCATGGTTGAGCGTCTTCGACGTTAAGTCTGCTTCTCCGAAGCGGGCTGCTGGGTGTAATCCCGGCCCTATTCTCCCTGTGAATGTGTTTATGGCGGGATCCGCAGCAGTATTGCATCTCAATGTGGGCAAGCTACTTGTGGGTATGATCAAACCTGGTGAGGAATGTCTACCGGCTTTTTGAAAGAACTCATTTTTCATACCGGAAACGGGGTTTTCGAAAGACATACCCTAGTTTGCAACCGTTTACTTTTGAGAGAAGAGGTGCAAGGTGAATAACTCCGGCGAGACCAGATTTCAGAGCCCACTGCAATGTCTCTTAGTTGCCCAAGGAGTTATTTTAACAGACTGGAGCTCCTTAGTATTTAGACATCTGCACTGCTAGATCTATATCGCGGCATTTTTTTATTGGAGCAGTCTCATGCTCACTGCAAGCAGTGTTTCGTTTGCTATATGCATAAACATGTAGAGTATGAGTTGATATTAATTGCTGATGATATTGATGAGTTGATAAAGGAATTAATTTAACCTTGTAGGAATTATTAAACGGCTGACACACTCCTGTGTATGAACTCATATTTTTTATGTTAATATGGGGTAGCATCGAAGAATCATCAGTTTCCGAAACGTCGTTCCTTATGAGCAGAGAATCGTTGTGGCGAGTAGAATCATGCGAGGTGCATCTAAAATATTGGATTCTTAAATGCAGTGTAGCTCTAGCCTACTTAAATGATCCCTCCAGGCAACTAAGGGAAAGGTTGCAGTGAACCACACGGCGAAG